AACACTAGAAGCAATGGCTTATTATGCAACTACAAGTGTACAGAAAGACAGGGACGGGTTGCGAGATGTCCTTTACCGATGCCATCAATACCCTTCACCTTCTTTGTGTGTCTGCTTTGGGGTGCTCTTTTCCTTTGGGTTTGCCCAGGGCAGGGTGGTGGGAGGGAAACGGCATTCAAAAAGTAAAAGGCAGCACAGGACCAAGAAGGCAATAGGTCAAGAGGTGGGTAAGGATTTCCCCCCATAAGCAGATATCATTTAAATGAAGTGATATGAACATGAATAGTACCAGAAAAAAAAGGACTCTTGGCCAAATACACTGGCTTAAATGAGCTAAGTAATATTGCTCCATAAAATGTTCAGAAATACCATAAAAGCCAAGCCCACCATATTCTTCTCAAGAATGACAACACAGAGCCAAGAAACATCAACCCACAAGCCCTTCTTTGTGGAAGGGGAGCCCTCTGCTACTGAGGGAAAATCTGGACTAGAGCTTGGGTCAGTGTATAACAGTGGGGGGACCCCTATACGCTGTTCCTCTTTAAATTCTCTGCAAGGAAAGCTTCGTCTATGAATGTACCTACAAGCACCTTTGAGAAGCTTCTTTACATATTTTATCTAGGCATTACAAGACACCGAGGAAACAGACTGAAGCAGTTTCCATAAAAAATTAAGACATCTCTCTCTAAAGGACATATGCTTTATATAGCAATACACACACGCGCTCCTGCTGCTCGTCACCCAAACATCACAGGAGTTTTTATGAATGTTAACTAGGCTTCAGGATTTCTGTGGCAAAACAGATAAGTGTTATTGCTCTTATTGATCCCATTAGTGAGCAAAACCATATATACCTCGATCAGATTTTGGGAAGTGAATTTCAGATGGCATCTGTCTTATTTTTATAATATTAGGGCCATGTTAAGTCAGTCTCAGATTTGCTCATTGCCAAAACATTTAAGCTCCAGCGCTAACATTGCACACCTCTGTTATACATTCAGCACTTTCCATTCAAGCAAAGAACAATACCTGCCAATACACATTCCTTTAACTCATTTATAAAGTTATAATGAAAATTACCAGAGGCATAAAACAACTATTATGATAAATAATGAGCTTTAAAAAAAAAAACCCATACACATACAGAGAGAGAATCAGTGAGACACTGATCCTTCTATACAGAATGTTATTCAAAAGAGGGATTGTCAGTGCAATGCTGAACAGATCAATTTATTTCCTTTTCTTCTCTCCACTTAACTGGATTTTATATTCAAAAGTAATTGTTCCTGTAAGAAACAACCCTTGTCCGTATCTTTCGAGGTTCACAAAGCCTCAGACCTACATCTTTACCACTATACAGGTTTCCATGGTAACAGATGATGGTGCCTTCTAAAAAAATACTGTAATATTCTACAGTAAGTGTCCCAAATCATTCCCATAATATTAATGAAAACTAGAGCACGTGGGCCTGCACATACAGCATAACAGACTAAAAAAAGTACAATTAAACAGGAAGAGCAGAGCTGAGGGACTGTCGGAAGGGCGGTAAAGAAGGACTCTGCATTTCTAAGAGAGAAGGATTATCACTCAGAGATTCACAAATGCCTTTATACACACACTGACCTTTCCTTGCCACTCTTGAAATAGGCAGTTTCACAACATTATCTTTTTAATATTAATTGTTTATGTATTAGAAAACAAACCAAGCCAGCCAAGAATGAAAAATAAAGTTGAATTGTAGAGCTAACAGCTCCCCAGAGGGAGTGAAAAGTGATTATTGAGTTAAATGGCTGCATTGTTAACAATTGCCACACAGAGTGGCTTGCTCTGAGAGATCCATTTTTCATTGCCAATTTACTGACAGCAAAACCTGTGAGTAAATGAACTCCTAGTAAATGAATTAATCTTCCCCCAAAAAATTCCTTGCAGTTTGCTCCCCTTTCATCTTCCCTGGACAAACCATGGGTAATGAACTATCAGTTGCTGTAACTTTCTGAGGTGGCAGCAGTCATTGACAGCAAACAGCTCCATGGCCAAACGTTCAGGAGCTATGCCATAGCAAAAAAAGGAGCAGGATAATGAAGAAGTTAAAGCAAACATTGACCCTTTTTTTGCCTTCTTATGTCAGAGTAATTTGGTGTTCAGGTGAACGGTCTCAATGTAAACCCACTGTCCTACTTTTCCCCCGAATGCTTCTTCACAGCTGCAAATGACTTTAATCTCTCTATTCTCCGCTCCGGCGTGCTAAAAATGGACACAAAACAGACTGTAGCAAAGTGCACAGCAACTGCAAGAATACTCCACGTATTTGGTGGGAGAAAAACCGTACATGTGCCTTAAGGAAAAAAAAAAAAACTTCCCCATAAGCAAAGTTCCTTATTTTCTGAAAGCCTGAAAGAATCGCCAATTACTAGAATTACCTGGTGTTACTTCTCTCTCTCTCTATGGGAAAGTAGAGGAATTCAATTAGTAGCTAACCCTAAAAAAGCTAACAAGAAGTTCAGAACCTCAAATACCTCCAGTTATAAATAAATACAGAGGCAACTGAAAATAATTGCTGGGGAGAAGATTTATAATCGAGCAATACAGAAATTACATCAAGAAATAAGTGCTAACCAGCTCCATCACATGAAACTAGGTATTCCAGGAAGAAGCCACTTCATAGTATTTTTAATTTTATATGTTGTGGATAAGATGTGGAAGCAGCAGCAGCAGCTGTGCCACTCAGGTAGGAACTTAACACCATTTTGTCTTGACTCGGGGCTTTCCTACTTCTCAGCCCAACTACCGTATAAGAAAATAAATCCAAAAAAACCAGCCAACTTCTTGTACAGTGATTTTTCAGGATGTTTAACAAAAGGCTGCTGAATAAACGCATTAGGCTTTGAAAAATAATTCGGTCAGAGACAGGCAGTATTTGCATCCTAATAGTTATGGAGACAGCACCACCTGATGGAAGATGCGAAAACGCTCCGATGGCATTAACTGGAATCTCTCCAAACTTCACTGAAATGTTCGAGACGAAGTGCATCTGAAAAACTTCGCTTTTTACCATAAAAATATCAGCTATATGGACAGAGTCCAGACCTCTACGCTTCATGCCAGATATATAGCCTAAGAGAAGGAAACTTTCTTTTAACTTAGTTAATAGAAGCAGCTCAGAAAACATTATTTATTAGAATAAGCTCCTCTTATTTTGAATGGTGCACCAAAATAGGAGGTGGAAGGTGATGCTAGTGATTAGGAAACCTCACAGTCACTTCCCCCCCGTACTGATGATTAAAACAAAATATTTCATGGCTTTCTGAAAATATTGAAAACATCTGACTAATCCCTGAATTTGCATGTGTTTAGCTCATATAGCTTATGTTATACTGCTATTTCCCTCAAATGCAAAGTGTTTTCTGCCCCCTTAAAAGTTCGCCATTTTCACAGAAAACTCTTTTTCTAAGCATCTGGGCTAAATGATTCATCAAAAGCTGAGGATCTAATCTCAATAGGTATGACAAGTGTCGAACACGAAAACACAGTTGGAAGAGAGAGGAAAAAGGAAAAAAAAAATAAATAGCTCCACATATTGCTTACTCAAGGAAGAAGCTGTTTAACTAGGTTAGATTTTCCAGCCTTTCTAATAAATCTGTGGATCTGTGCAGTTGCCTAGCAATGTAAACAAGATCCCATGGTGGTGGGATGGTTACACCAGCTCCTTCGTTGAGCTACCCAGGGGTCTCCTGTGCCCACCCGACCCTTCACACCCCAAACTTTCTTCTGAGCCATACACCGCACCGAAAAGCTCAGTTAAAGGTACATAAGGTGCTCTGGCTGCAGAGTCAGCATCTCCCTCACTCTGCACTACTGCTGGTTTCAGGCAGTGAGACCAAGTCATTGGAGCTCTCAGTCTTAACTGAGAAAAAAAATCTGCCACCGTTGGAGAGAAATTAAACTTGGGCATGTTGGAGGTACGAAACCAAGTCTGAAGCACTGACATTTATCTCTAATAAGCAATGTTGCACGCAGAATTTTTATAGATAGGGGAAAAAATATTCAAAAAAATTAGCTAGATACATGAAGTCAAGAGAGAAGAAAATTATAACTGTGGGGGTTTTTTTAATATAAATAGAAACTGCAGTGAGAAAATTAATGTCTTATTAAAAGATCCAGTGGAAAAACCAAGCCACGCATATCTCTGCTTTACCTACAACATAGTACAAGAGGAGAAAACTAGCTCTACGAGCACCTGTCATCTTCAAGTAATTCAAACTACGCCTAAAGGAACTTGTAGTAGGAGGAAAATAGCTGGCTACTATTAATGTGCACATGCCAGGGAGCAAAGTATTCCCTAACATCAGAGAAAGTGACAACTGGAAGGAGACAGTCCGAGTAGCTGAGGGCCCCCCCAACCGAGAAAGTTACTTGAGCCGTGGGATGCGAGGTGGGGAAAAGCTGCTGCGAAACTTCAGCGAGCAGCCCCGGAGCCCTTCGCCCGGCGGGGAAAGGCAGCGGCATCCTTCAGAAACCCACTCCTGCCTTGCGCTCAGAGACTGCTTACTACAGAAAGGACCCCAATGTCGTGAATCCGAGAATAAAAGCGATGCTTTCATTTCCCCCCACACGCAACTTTCCCAGGAGCGAGCCCCCCCCCCGAAGTCCGAAATGTCGCTATCGCCGTTAGCCCCAGCAGGGTCCCTGAGCACCCCCGGCAAAGCCTCCCGCAGCCCCCGCCGGCACCGAGCGCTGCCGGGGCTCCACGCCTCGCCGGGAAAAACCGACTTTTAATAAGACTGCTCCTTCCCCCGCCGCCTTCCCAGAGCCGGCTGCGTCCCTGCCTGCTCCGGGGCTGGCACAGGGAGCTCGCTGCGAGGCCGAGGGGCTGGAGGAAGAGGATGGAGCGAAGAGTTCAGGCTGCCAGGGAGAGCTGCCTTGCCCCGGGGGATGAGGTGGGGGATGGCCCGGGGGAGCCGGGCAGGGAAGGACGCGAGGCGGGAGCGGGCGGCACTCACCTGCGAAGACCTGTCCCTCCGCCTTGGGCAAAAGCTGGAGGAGAAAGACGATCGCGGCGACGCCGGTCATCCTTCCCCGGAGTTCACCTGCCCTCCCCGCTGCCGCCGTGCCGCTGCCTCCCCGCCGATATCCCCCGCATTAGGCGGCCCCGGGCGCGGCGGCGGCCCCGGCAGCCGGAGCCGCGGTGCTGGGCTCGGCGGAGCCGCCGAAGTGGCGGCGGGAGACGCGGGGAGCGGGGCGGGGAGCGGGGCGGGAGGCTCCCCCCGA